GTTTTATTCATGATTTAATATTTTTATTTATTTTTTGTCTTGTAAAGCGCCTATGAACATTTATTTTGGATATATGGCGCTATATAAGTGCATACTTATTATTATTATTATGAAACTTTTTATCTTAAACTTTACTTGTTAAAGTGCAAGAACTGAAGACTAACTCTGAGCACACGGAAAAAATGTTGACTGGTGAATCAGAAAGAATATTGCAAAGTGAAATTAATGCACTCAAAGCCAAAGAAATTAGGGTAAATAAAGAAATCGTGCAGAAGAAAGAAAAGGTAAGTAAAAGTAATTAAATGGAAAAAAGTTTATTAAAAATATATATGGAATCGGAATTGTATAAGGTACTGTATATCATACATACAGTAATGTAATTAAAGTGTGTTTTGCATACTAACATATGTGAATTTCTGTGTGAAATCATGAAATTATTGATTATAGCTATTGTGCATTATGAATATTACAGCATTCATAAAGCTTTGGTATTTTTTATCCTTCAAATCATTTTAATTTTATACATTTATTGATAACACATTTGAATCATTCATGCATCAGTACTAATCACCATGTTGTTGTTGTAGCTGAAAGTCACCCAAGACAGAGAAGCAAAAATAAAACAGGATATAGACATATTACAGGCTAGTTTCAGAAACCATTACCATATTTCAGTGCATATGTCATTTCATTTTAAATCTTCGTTGATTCTTACTTTTACTTTTTAAACACATTGAATAATTGTAGGGATGCATAGTTTAAAAAACAATTGACAAAACATAATTTGACACATTGGGCAAATTAAGTTGTTTATTTTTAATTCTTTCTTTCCACACAGAAGAGAAACCAGGCCCAACTTACTAGACTGAAGCGTCAAGTGAAAGAAGCACAGGTTAGGAATAAACAGTGGAATGAAGAAGCCTGCGAGCTAGAAACAAGTATTGCTGAATTACGAAATCATATAAAGGAGTAAGAAGTTAAACATGTAAATTACTGTCCAAAACTTTAATTTAACTCATTTCATAGCTCCTAATGTCACTACTTGTCAAGATGAACACCTCATACTCACTTCTAAATACTCTTTTAAATAAAATAAAAAAATAAAAAATTGCATTGTTCATTCAAGGGCAGTGGTTGTCAAACCATGCATATGCAAGATTTTGTTGTTTAAGAATGGCAAGTATGGATGTGAGTTTTGAACTGGTGTGCAATAAATAGTGACTGCTTAAAGTCATTCAATACATTACAACCACCACAGGAATTGCCTTTAGTTAAAACTAAATCGGTAGCTTCTCCAATTTGTATGTGTTGGTCTGTGCAATAATCAAAGTCGACATGCATTTTTGTTAATATGGGACTCATGCATGTATCTCATGCACAACACCCGTCACCATTCAGGTTACCATTCACAAAATAGGTAGAATCCATAAATGCGAACCCAACAAACCATCGAATGTGGTACGAATCAAGATAATATGCATGTAATTGCTGGTTGTGTGTAAGAAATATTGCCAATTGAAAAACTTACAGACTATGGAAGCATTTGCAAGTTATCAGCTCTAGGGAAATTGAAGTGCTTGCTCATCACTGAAGATAGGTTCATTGTCAACTGCTTGGAAACATTTATTGATTTGATTTCAAAGCTTTAGTTTAGACTACTAGTATTTTTTTTGTTTTTCTTGGTCATTGATTTATTGTTTTGTTTTTTTCATTCATACTAAATTTTGTGTTAAATAAAATAAATATTTATTTGAAGATCTACAACCATGAAAAGTCATTATTTCTGAAGTTTATTTTGTTGAAAGGTTGAGGTGATCTGAAAGTTGATCACTCTGCCTCTGCCATATTAATTGTATTATAGTTAGAATTGGAAATCATACTTAGTTGTTTTATGATGATAAATAGGTAAACAGTCAACTTTAACTCTACAATTCAATGTGAAAGGCTTCCTTGACTCAGTAAAGTACAAATAACAAGTGCCCCTTTACCCTAACAACAATTCTCATATGAACTTGTGTCAAATTATTATAGAAATTTATCCTATAAGATCCCTAAATTCCTTCCCACATGTCAAAACCGCCCACTCAATGATATTGCTAATATAAAGTGTGTGTACTTACTGAAATATACAAGGAAAATTATCAATAAAATTATCATTTACATGGAGAAACATAAAACAAAACCATACATTTGATATGAATACTGCTCTATTATTTTGAAATATGATACATAGAAAAGTGAAATAGACATATACACCATTAAAAGTTTATCAATTATGAATTCACAATTATTGAAGAATGTATCAGTAGATCTAGTCTAAGCGTCTTCGTATCGGAAGTGATTGATGACGTTTTGTTGACACAAGGTAGCTATGAATGACATGCAATCTGATTGTTAGTCAACACGTGATAACACGTTAAATTAAACACCTCACAGTGGCAGTAATTAGATTATTAATTAAATTATTTAAGTATGCCATAATTCTTGATCAAATAAATGATATAGTAATGAATAGATTTAATGTCAACTTTCTTTCTTTATCTCCATAATATTTGTTCGTATCAAGTTAGCGAGGAACAGAAGCAGTATGAGTGACTCACTTTGACAGCATTGACATAACAACTTTCCATTAAGTACGTAAAGCAAATACAATATTGATTGCCGGTGGGACGAAGCAGAGGCCGACTACAATTGACAATCGATTTGTCTCGTGACAAATGGTTAATGGTTGTGACGGGTGTAATAATATGTTTTCCAACGAGTATTAATTAAGAAATTCCATTTGTTAAATTATCTCATCAGATACATATATGTTTACAGAGTCTGAATAGTTTCAGTAGTGTGTTTTCTTTGACTGCTTGCACTGCTTATGATAGAATTTACTTTGATGGAACCATACATAATTGAAATTGTGTTCTGGAGTAAACTAATTTGTGAATAACCATAAACAACCTTCACAATAAGACGTAAATGGTATTTCTTTTAACCATTAATTTGTCCCAGCAGGGCGCTGATTCATCGTACTCTTATGTATTGGCATCTTAGTTCCGTTCCCACGAGCATGCGTGAAGCGTTATTGATCGGAAGAAGAACGTCACATCAAATCAATGACAAAACTAGCAGTAAGCAGCTGGCGGAATTCCCTTTTTTTCATTGTATTAGTCACTTATAACGAGCTATTCACAATATGCTTTCCGGGTAGCATAGCTTAATAGTAAGCTCTCCCTCCTCCAAATGTTAGACCTGGTCTCTTGGTACTTGATTTTTTCGATATTGATTTCATCTTTAATATATGTAAGCTTTATGTAGTAGTACACCATACCGGCAGGTCTTGAAGGAAAGTTGTTATTATATCACTTATTGTATGTTTATGAACCGTAATTATTAATTCTGAAACCCTACAACAAACAATACTTTGGGAACGGTGAAACTTATACTTAATAATATAAGTACGTCATTATATACACGCGGGCTTCACTGTGAGTGTATTTGAACTTATACGTCAATGGCTGTGATAGTCATGCGATGTGACAGCAATGCAGACAATTCTAATAACAAGTCCTTACTGTTTTTGTTTCATTATTAATTGTTATGATAACTGCAGTAAAGGGTCGTGCGTGTCAACATTGTGCATTTCACTTGATGTTATGGCATCTCATCCTGTTGAAATATAACTACACACTGTATAACGTTCACTAGGGGTCGCATGCCGCTTAACAACATGCTTATTATTTCCTGTGGGTGCAAGTTTAAAATGCAGTTAATGGTATACTCGCTGATATATGCTTTTCTTCTTTTTCGGGTTTCTGTTGATTGTCGCAGATCTGGCAACAAAGCTTCTTGACTAAATATTTATGCCTATTGGGCGGAATTATAACAAACCGAGCGTTTAAATCTTTTGTACGCCAGGTGTCACTTGTTTACCGGGGTAATGATTTGTTTATGCATCTGTCGCTGAGGTGTTGACGGACGGTGTTTACACTGACCTGTTTTGACAACAGATTGATATGTATACCCACACCGATTCATTGGGCAGCTATGGATTTCGGGATTTATACTCTTGCTGATGAATCGATATTATTTGTAGCATATAATGATCAAAAACAACTCAATGCGGTCATTCGGTTCCATTTTTGTTGAAATTGAAAGGCGTTTATCAATATCTAATATGCTGCTGTTCATGGTTTTTATACAGTTGTTTGTTGAGCAAACATTATTTTCTATTCAATGACTTGTGAATCAAGGGTTTGAAAGAAACCTCTTATAACAACACTTATTAACCTTATTTTCGGATTGCCATTAATCGTGTTGCCTTAGGTCTGGTATTAATCCATGCCGGGTTACAGGCAATTAGCTGTGTTGCTGTGATATTGTCGTCTCTGATTATGACGGCCTACTAGGAACACATCTGGTTATAGTTACCATAATAGAGCAGTGCACTCAACAAACCAGACGCGTTGCATTGTGCTCCGGTTATGGTTATTTCATTTTTATATGTTCATAACCAGTGACACATCCATTTTATTCTGTGTATGTACACTGTAGATCGATCAATGGAAGGAAGGCTGACGTCAACCGTTTTGACTTCGTACACGGACTTTTTTAAACGCAGGGTAAGATGATATGCGATACCTTGTAAATTATATCATACTTTTTGTTATTTATGTTATTTATTTGCACTTGTGTCCACGACATATACCCGTATAGAGAGGTAACACCACAGTGTGCATTGCTGTTTTTCATGATTACACATCGAACACAGTGTATATAATATTCAATTTTGGATATTATTGGAGTCTCCAATATTATCAGCAGACGTATACTCTCAAAGTTAATAAAAAGTGTTAAAAATTAACAGTCTGCTGTTTCCAAGGAGCCCAATACATTTACCGCTTCGATAGTTGTGGTAATATCTTCTAGACTAAGTACCGAAGCTGGGTGCATTTTGCGTGTTGATGCAATCTGATTCCAGTGGTACTATATCTTAAAATCTCTAATATCGGTAATAATTTCTAGTATGAAAGTTTGATACACTTTTAACATTGTTACAGTCTGTTGATTCCAGGGTGATAGATATTAAGTGAGATGTGTGCGGTGTCTCCCTTTTATATTATTGTGGGTCAGGATGACTCAAATATGATGTACACCAGATTAAATGGAATGAATATATACATCGGTACTGAGTCAGTGTATCGTTGCAGGCAAAGCAGAGAATACAAACCAGAAAGAAACTAACTGACAAGCTGAGCATCGAACTGCCACCTCCTGTGCAAGAGACTGGCATAACTGGGTTAGTCTATTGGCCGTTACATAACCGACATACTAAGAAAACCGTGCGTAGGGTAAGGTGGCGACCTGTTCATATATTGACTAAACCATGTTGTGATTTATTAAGTAGATATAGGTGTTAACGTTTGACCCTGCTTGACATTTCCTGTGTTGATCGGTTCTGCTATTGCTGACTAACCAGTTGATCATACTCGCGCATGCATTCCTTTACACAACTGATTGAGGTATTCGACACACCACTGTGTAATTGGCCTCGTCTGCTAGATATACCACCATGTAATACACGCCCCCGGCACGCTTGGTCTTATCGTAAGCTGTTGAGTCACAAGTACATCTGTACAAGGCCTCTCGTGTCCGGAGGCTCCCTTTCTGGATATTAATTGGAAATTGTTGGCGATCCAGAGAATTATCCTCTTGAGTGTGATTTGATTTAGCCAGGGACACTATGTGGGATTACAACAATTCGTTTGCTGGTGATATATTAATGATGTACTATCAAGTATGGTGCATGTAAATTATGTATTTTGTACGTTAAAGCCAACAAGTAGGCGTTATTTATAAAACTTTCCAACGGAATTGCCACATGTCATCATTCTTTTGATGTTCATATGCCCTCGAATGTGAAAATAGTTACGAAGGAATGTGATTCCATTATGTTAGTGCACCCCGTTCTTGCTGTGCCAGCCAGACTCATAGGTAGCTACGTGACACTTGGTCACGGTATACATTATTTTTTTGTTTACAGGCACAGCACCTGCTGAAATTAAAAAGTCGGGTACATGCGAAACCCTACTATCTGAAGCCACTGGAATGGAAGACCAAGGACGTTTCGCTCGAGAAGCAGTTAAAATATATAAGAATATCTAACAAGATTGACATGTTTGAACCGAAACTTTCAGTAACTGAAAACGCTGGTCTTTTGCCGTTGAAGAAAACCCATGCTCCAAATAAAGGGTTGCGCTCAATGGAAAACCCTCGTCGACTTCATCAAAAAATTACTGCCGAGAAGTGTTTTGACAAAGGGAAATTATGCCCGGTGGCAAAAATACCCCTGCCACCGATTAAATCTAGTCCCAGAGATTGTTTTAATAAACTGTCACAAGCATTAAGTGTAAAGCATGCTTCCAATACAGTCGCTCTGAGTAATGACCATTCGAAAAAGAGCATGACGTCCGAGCAAGTAATTACAAGAAATGTCCCAAATGAACCGATTGATACGAATAGTAGCCGTGATCTGTACAGCAATTCCGTGTCAAACACGCATGTTTTGAATAAGAATACTCCAACTTTTGAATATCGATATAACTTAAAACTTGACGATGATGAGCGGCAGACCATGGCAACAACGAAGCAATAGTCAATCTACGCCACAGGCCACAGGGGCACTGTGACCAACTAGATTAGAACACTCAAAGCTATTTTTAGTTGCCGTGTATACTAGAGTTTGAAAGCATGGATTAAACGAGCTATTCACACAAACCAATTGTTTATTAATTGGAATGTTGTGATAAACATAATAAGCGAATGCGATATTAAACTGTTATCTATTGTAACGATTATCCGGCGCATCAATCGGTTATAATTTTTTTACATGTTGCCCAATTAAAAAGCAGGTCCAAAACAACACAGATTACTCATGGGCGTTTTTTGGATCGTACGTGTTGTGGTTCTTGTTTATTTTGTATCTACGGTTTTGCGTAATCAAGACGCCGTCGTCGTCACGTTGGAAGGGGTGTCACAGGAAACTCTTACTGGAAATATATATGCACAATGTGACGCCAAATATCAACATTTCGTGATAGAACGCCACAAATTCCAACACAGACCAACGACCAGTAGTTTATATCAATTAAATGGACTGCTGTTACACACACCAATTTTCGAATATTAACGCTTAGGTTAAATTAAGAAATCCTGGCATATTTGTATTCGCCTTTTTCATTTAACGAAATATCATAACCTGCATTTTAAAATCCCGGATAGTTTTTCTATTTCCCTGAATATGGAAGAAACTTCGGACCATTTAGCAATAAACGACAGTAGATTGTTCATTTCTGATCGCGGTATTATTTTCAAAATGAGCGTTAATAGAAAATAATGAATGTAGTTCATTTATCGTGTGTAAAGAACGGTGTTAAATTTCAAAACTAGCTTATAAAGATGCCACGGTAATGTGCCGCGTGTGTTTCCACAACAGACAAGCCGCTCAACTCAAATTACCATGAATATTATGAGATTTTTCTGGCGTCTCTGATTAAAATTGAATGTCCTGGGGCGTCATTTATATGCTTTAGTCGACGACAGCCGAGTTGTGTAATTATTTCCACCAGCCTACATACAGCACAAATAATATTGCCATTTTGTATTGATTTACCAGCGGCCGTATCATTAAACAGTTGTTTTAGTAAATCATCAAATTCAATTAAATACCTATATACCTGACTGACCTTATCGGATGGGTAATGATGAGCAATCCTCTAACACTAGAGTATAGGTCATGTGTTGACACAACCCATACTGAGACCTTTAAGTTTGCCTGTCAAATACGTAGGAATGTCAGTTATATCGAGACATCATTTCCCGCTATATCTTGCGTATGTACACGCATTACTAATAATATACAATGCATTTGGCTAGAACGTTTCGGCCAAAATAATGGTTGATTGATAACTTGCATTTTTGTTCAATTAGTTGTGTTGTAATTCCGGTCGGCATTTTAATGTAAACTCCTTAGTGTCGACAACATTCAATAACATGCCCAAATGAGAAACTACATCTAATACGCTAACTTATTTTACCCTGTTCGGAATAAGTCCGAAAGCGAACTTGTGTACGTTCGTCCGTCCGCCTAAATGAAAATCATCACAATCTGCCATTTCTGCAATTTCGGAGCCTGGTCAATCTTGGTACATTGAACATTATGGGACCTTGATGCACGTCATTTTTGTTGACATCGAATTCAAAATGGCCGCCGACTGAGGGCCATTTAGTTTTAACGAATGTTGTCCCCGATTCAGCGATTGACATGCCTTGACCGATTGCAGTCAAACTCTAAACCTACATACTACATTGTGTCACATATTGACATGCACTGTGTCACATATTGATATTAAGTGCTGATTCAAAATGACTGACTTATTTGGGTTTTGTACACTATTCATTAACGGGGACTGTGTCATGGCGTGATTTGTTATGTACTACATCTCTCGTATAATGTCCATATAGATTGCTAAATATTCTAAGGTTCTATTTAGTTCAGCGTCTTTAAACCAATTTCCTCCCAAATTATTTTACTGACGGGTTACAGATATTCTGTCGCTAGGCTACCATGTCAACTTCAGTGTCAATTTCACATGCGTAGCACCTAGTGAATGAGTGGGACCGCAGTTAATCGGAACAATGGTGAATCCGTGCCCGTTTGATTTGAACACGATTCAAAAACCTTAGTCGAAAAATCAAAGCAAAATATTTAAAAGCAATTGAAAAGATCCGGAGGTGCTAATATCTTCGTTGAATGCTTTGGGAGTAAATAATCTTAAATCACAAATAGCTCCAGAAGTAGTTTTTTCCCGCTAAATTTACGTGAATCTCGGTAAATTAGATACATAAATCATGTTGCAGATATGGAATGTGAATAATATGTATTCATTACTGAACCTAAACTAGCATGTCTACAACAAGCGTTAACACCACGAGTCAACATACGGCACACGAAGTGTGACTAGTTCTGCCGTAATAGTGCAACACCTCTTCTAATATTACGATCACATTTTGCGTCAGTTTTAAATTGTTACGCGAGCGCATCTCTCGATATGCAATATAGGTTGCAAACTCAGGCGGGATACAGACAGTACATTGTCGCAGTGTATTCGAATTGTCGTCTCGGTAGACAGTTGATGATGTTATCCGAAGCACGATTACAGATACCGTTGGGCAGCGGAGATGTCACCCATCCGTGAACATAGAATAACATTTTCAACCTCCTTAACCACCTGCATGTACACCTTTTTATCGCGAGATTATCCGACATGATATTATTCGTCGTCGACGCCAATGAGAAGATAGTGAAAATGATTTGCAACGCAGAGGGACGTATACTGTATAAATTGTGAACACTATCAGAACGGACTTAGTCGCATGCACAAAACTGACAAACGTTTATTGACGCATCGGCAAGTAATCAATATACTGATGCAATTTCATTCTCTTATTGCACGAACCGTTACAAAAGAAAACCTGCAGCCAAGATACCACTACAGACAGGATGTGCGGCATCAATTACTCTCAAGTGATAATACAACATGTATTGTTTGTTACTTCTAACTATCGGTGTATTCAATGTGATGAACTATTTATGTGTTATACTAGAATAAAACTTTTACATCATACGTCATTGACCACGTGACCTATATGTGCAATGTAAGTGATTAAAGTGGAGTTCAGATATCCACCCACATGAATACACCTTTGTAAAAACCATCCCATAATTTTAATAATGTCTGCTGTATTAATATTCATTGCGGATGTTAAGAGGTTATTCACTTCTAATATCGGAGATAACGTAGGGGGGGGGGTATTACGAGGAGCAATGTTGATATGTTATCGAAGCATCACGAGAAAATATTAATATTTCAAACATTACAGCAAATCTTTATCATATGTGCAACTGAACCCGCATGACAATCACGATACTGACCCGCATGACAATCACGATACTGACCGAAATGACAATCACGATACTGACCCGCATGACAATCACGATACTGACCGAAATGACAATCACGATACTGACCGAAATGACAATCACGATACTGACCGAAATGACAATCACGATACTGACCGAAATGACAATCACGATACTTACCGAAATGACAATCACGATACTGACCGAAAGAGAACATAAGCGTGAAAAGTAGCAGCGCTGCCAGCGCTTACTATGAGAGCAGCGGACATCTGTGACGGCCCGGGGAGCACAGTGCGTGCACTCTGGGACGTGTTGTCGTGAAATTATTTAATGTGAGGATTACTGTTAGATATCAAATGACTTTCTTTGTCGCAATACTCATATCATAGAACGTTCTAAAGTAAACAAGACGTCATCTCACCGACTCTTCTTTTAACATTGGTTCTTTGAAGAAAACAAGTTATCGCGAGTCGGAATAGTTTAATTTCGCTGTCAATATTAATATGATTACGTAAGTGTGTGAGTGACGACTTGAACACTGGTTAGGTTGCATAAAGATGGGTGTTATCTCCCCAGTTGTAGTTGCGCCATATGTGAAAAATAACACGGGGTCAAAATACATAGAGTGGTGTGGATCGAATACCGCTAAATATTGCCGCCACTAAAACAACAGGACATAGCGGATATCACCTGTAGACTATACAAAAATGTAATTGTTTGTTTGTCGGCTGGGGCGATTAGTAAGATAAATAAACGACGCTTGAATGTCTATCAGCCATAAACAAACTTTCTTCCTAAATCATTCATCACAAAGATTTAAATAGGTATCCAGGGTGACGAGATCACAATTTCCCAGCATGCTTCTCTGCTAGCCAAACAGGTAATTTCACTTTCTTTATGCATAATGTGTTTGGGTTTCTCCCACAATGCAATAAGATACATACTTGTTTTGAAGTGTCCAATTAGTTCAGTAAATATATATCTGAAGAAACGAACTCGGTTGAAGCAATATCAAGCTGTAAACGTGTCTGCTGCATTCATATTTTTTCGCGGATGCTTGGCATTATTCGAGTGTTTATTTTCTTTTCTTTAAGGCTTAGACTTAATTACAGAATGAGAAGCAACTCAATTTAGTACATGGATGAAGAATGTTGGATTGTTAAAGTCGTAATTCTTCCTACGTCGTATTGATACTTTTTTTACTTTACTTTTTACGACAAATGACTATAAAAAGATTGTGACTGGTCTCTGTAATTGTTTGTTCGTTTGAATGTATGTGTGAGCAGCCGCAAACAAATTTCTTCTTCTCAATAATCCAGCGCAATGATTTCTATTTCTTAAATTACATTTTTGCGACCCACATGGAAAATACAACTTTATCTGTACATAAGCATTTGGGATTCTCCCACAATGCAATATGATACGTACAAGTTTTATTTGATGTGCCAAATAATTCAGTGATTATATCTATCTGAAGAAACAAACTCTGTAAGCACTGTCACTCGTACCCAAAATATAATGTAACTTTCACCAATTATATATTTTCATTTTTAAAATACGCTGACGATGATCAGATGATCAACTAGATGATTAGAAAGATTGTTGACACTGAGAGTTGCAATCATTATATAGAACTGTCGAGCGATAGAGGCCCAAGTTGGGTACAATGCAGA